GAGAGAGAGAGAGAGAGAGAGAGGCTGGGGCCCAAGGAGCTAAGTGCTAGGCCTTTGCCAGGGCCAGAAAGGACAGCCAAGGCTGAATGATGGACTCTGAGAACAGTCTGATTACTGCATTAAACGTGAGCCAGCAGCTGTCTTGGCAGGGGGGAGGGCTGAGAACACTTAAAATGGAAACTGCTTAGAGTAACCCTATGCTGTGAGGCTGATGCCCTCAACCGTAAATAGCCTGTATCTGAAACTCCCTCTTCAGGTAACACAGAAGTTTACGTGGGCCAACCCTGTTGGTCCACCTAGGTCCCCTACTCTCCTTTCACACCTCCCTGCTGGCTGCAGGGAAAAATGCAGGGTTTTCAGCATATGGCCTCCCTTTGCTGACTCTGAAATAAAGATTATGAGCACTGCTCAAATATGAAAGGAGACAAAGGTAACAAAAATAATCAAAAGATGGGAAATTCCAAAATTTCTAGAAAGTTCAAGATGTTTCCAAAGTATTTCACCTATTACAGATGATAATGTAAATGTATCTAGACTTTCTCTTCTCACCATCACTTTACTGGGTCCTTTGGATGGAGAATCCAACAGAAGCCTCTGGGTCTGGACTTGGACTGGACCCTAGAGAAACAATGACTTACAGCTTAGCTCAAGGACAGCACTGAAAGGGTCTCACTGCTGGATCCGATGATATTCTCATCCATTACAGAACCTGCTTCCAAACCCCTCCAGGTCAGGCCCCTAGGTCAACAGACCTAGTCTGCTCGGCATATGTGCTCTATAATTCGGTCATCACCATTGTACCTCACTCCAGTTCTGGGCCCCACTGATGAAGAGTGGCAGGCCCTTCCTTCTCTGTTTAGCACCCAAGGAGTCCTTCTTTGGCCTGCAGGTGGTCCTCTACACCCTGCCTGATGTCTCTGGCCCATGCTCCAAAAATCATTTGTTCTTCCCTGGCCACTTGTTTTGGTGCTGTTGGGCTGCCAAAAGTTTATTTGCTGGCTAGCTGTTAAGAAGGCAGTATGATATAGTGGAAAGAGCTGGGCTCAAGGGTCAGTTCTACAATTTACTATTGTGATCTGGCTGAGTTACCACTTACAGAAGCATCTGGGTCCAGTTTGTCATGGGCCAAGCAGTCCTGATAGAGTGAGTCACCCATGGAGGGGCCCATCAGCCTTCTGTCAGTGGGAGACAGACATTTCTGCAGTTAAAAATGAGGGTTCCAGGGGCTTCCCTGGTGGTGCAGTGGTTGAGAGTCCGCCTGCCGATGCAGGGGACACGGGTTCGTGCCCCTATCCAGGAGGATCCCACATGCCATGGAGCGGCTGGGCCCGTGAGCCATGGCTGCTGAGCCTGCGTGTCCGGAGCCTGTGCTCCACAATGGGAGAGGCCACAACAGTGAGAGGCCCGCGTACCG